TGTTTTTGGTACCGGGGATTGAACTTGGGTCCTTGTGCTTGCAAGGCAGGCCACCGAACCGCTGAGCTAAATCCCCAGCACTACTGTCATCATTCTTATTCCATATAGTTCTGGAAACATTAGTCAGAGCAATTAATTAGACAAGAGTATGAAATAAAAGGAATAAAGTATAAGAAAGGAAGAAGTTAGATTATCGTTATTTGTGGGTAACATGATACTTTACATACAAGACCCCAAAAACTTCACCAAAAGACTTCTAGATTTAATTACCAAATTCAGTAGTGTATCTGGATACAAGGCCAAAACTCAAAAATCAATAGCCTTCCTGTACACAAATAACAAATTTACTGGGAGAGAAATCAGGGAAACAACACCTTTCACAATAGCATCCATAAAAAGAAATACCTAGGAATCAATCTAATGAAGGAAGTAAAAGACCTTGACATTGAAAACTGTTAATACTCTGAAAAAGGAGCTCAAAGAGGGTATCAGAAAATGGAAAGATATCCCTTGTTCTTGGGTAGGAAGAACCAATGTAGTGAAAATGGCCATACTTTCAAAATTGTTTATACAGCTTTAATGCAACCCCAATCAAAATTTCAATAGCATATCTCCCAGAATCAGAAAAAACAATCCTAAAATTCATTTGGAACCAGAAGAGACCCAGAATAACAAAGGCAATTCTTGGCAACAAATGCAAGGCAGAGGGCATCACAATTCCTGACTTGAAATCATACTTCAAAGCTACTGTGATAATGCCGGGCATGGTGGCGCATGCCTGTAATCCCAGCACTTGGGAGGCTGAGGCAGGAGGATCGCTGTGAGTTTGACACCAGCCTGGGCTACACAGTGAGTTCCAGGTCAGTCTCAACTACATAGTGAGACCCTGTCTCAACAAAACAAACAAAAAAGCTACTGTGATAAAAACAGCATGGTACTGGCAAAAAGACAGACCTGAGGATCAATGGAACAGATTAGATGTTGCAGAAAAAACGTCATACATACTTAGCCACCTTATCTTTGACAAAGGAGCCAAACACCTTCGCTGGAAGACAGCCTCTTGAATAAATGGTGGCAGAATAAAAAAAAAAAAATCAGTGCTGGAAAAACTGGGTTTCCACTTGCTGAAGATTAAAACTAGATCCATATCTTTCACCAGGCACTAAACTCAAATCAAAATGGATCAAACAGGCTGGGGATTTAGCTCAGTGGTTCTGCTCCTGCCTCGCAAGTGCAAGGACCCAAGTTCGATCCCCGGTACCAAAAAAAAACCAAACCAAACCAAATCAAACAAAATGGATCAAAGCGGGCCAAGGGTGTAGCTCAGTGGTGTGTACCTGCCTAGTCAAGTACAAGGTCCTGAGTTCAATCCCCAGTACTGGAACAACAACAACAACAAAGGATCAAAGATCTAAATATTAAAACAGAAGCACTAAATCTGCTGGAAGACAGAATAGGAAGGACTCTTGAAGACATTGGTATAGGCCAAAACTACGAACAAGGCACTGACTGCACAGAAAATATCACAAAAAAATTCAACAACTGGGATCTCATCTTATTAAAAAGCATTGGACAGCAAAACAAACCACCAAAACAGTGAAGAAACAACCGACAGTATGAGAAAAATTTTTTGCCAGCTGTTCCTTAGACAAATGACTACTATCTAGAATATATAAAGAACTCTAAAAAAAAAAAAAAAATCAGATCCCCAAGTTTAAAGACCCAATCTAAAAATGGACCTTCAAAATGAAGAGACACTCCTCAGATGAAGTAGCAGAAATGGCAAATAAATATATAAAAAATATGTTCAACATCACTGGTCATTCGAGAAATGCAAATTAAAACAATGCTGAGATTCCATTTCACTCTAGAAAGAATGGCTGCTATCAAGAAATCAATCAGTAACATGCTGGAGGGGCTGTGGGTGAAAAAGGAACCCTTCTCCACTGTTGGTGGGAGTGCAGACTGGTGAAACCACTGTGAAAATCTGTGGAGATTCCTCAAAATACTAAAACTAGAGGTTCCATTCAACCCAGCTATTCTCCTTCTTGGTATCTTCCTGAAATAATTAAAAGCATCACACTACGGAGATACATAGCACAATCTGTGATAGCTAAATCTTGGAAGAAGTCCAAATGCCCCATCAACTGATAAATGCATTAAGATGTAGTCTTTTTTATATAATGGAGTACTACTCAGCTATAAAGATAAATCTGAGACATTTCTAGCTAAATGGATGCACCTTGAGACCATACTCCTCAGTGAGATAAACTGGACACACGTTTAAATATCACATTGTTTCTCCGATATAAGAAACTGAAAGTGGAAATAAGGACCAAAATGTATAATAAATACTGGGAAATGAGAAGAAAAGGTTCAAAGGGGAAGGGGAATAGGGGAGGTGGGAGAGAGAAAGGAAAGAAGGAAAAAGAATAGAAGGAAAAAATGGGAACAAAGCTTTTGTAAATAAGAACGGGAAGAGGGGGGCAGTGGAAAAAAAGAAGATATATTATGTACAGGTACACATTCCCTATGACAAATGTTATCATTATGCATATCTAAAATGTACCAATAAATGTTTTGCACACATGCAAAGAGTTCCATAACTCTTTGGATGAATTATGCCTCTGATACTTTACACCTTCAGAGTGACTTGGTCAATGTACATAATGTTCAGCAGCTTGTGTGTGTGTGTGTGTGTGTGTGTGTGTGTGTGTGCATGTGTTAATTTAAAACTATTCTTATTATGTGTGGCAGCATGACTATAATCCCAGTTACTTTGGAAACTGAGGCAGGAGAATTGAAAGTTTGAGCCTAACTTGGGCAACTTAGGGAGATCCAAACTCAAAATGAAAAAATTCTAAAAAAAGGGCCAGGGATGTAACTCAATGTTCAGGCCTGTGTTGACTAGCCTGTGTGAGGCTCTAGGATCAATTCCCAGCACGGCAAAAAATAAAATATTTTCAACAAACATATTTTCATTTTTAATGGCTACACAGTGTTCTTTGATACACTTATTCCACAATTTACTTAACTGATCTCTTAGTGACAGGTTATTTTGGCACTTTGATGCCCCTGTGCCATTTCCTGTCTGTTCTTACTTCTCAAGGGTGTGCTGATGACACCTCAGCACTCAATTCTTCAAAGACCTCCCTCACTTTGCTTTAACCAATGCCATTTCCATGGTGCTAAATTTTAGCTCCATGAAAGCTTAGAGACACACAGGATAAATGACTTCTGGGAGAGCATGTGCACATGGCTTCCATGATTATGGAAATAATACAGGACTTGTGATCTCTGATGTCTAGAAAGCATCACAGTTTTCACTTATTATTCAGTCTGGCTACAGTCTACATTTCAAAGAAAGTGAGCTGCACAGCAACGGAAAGCTAGGTGAAAGTCAAATTAACTATCACTTATTTTCCTGTTTGTAGAAATGCCAAGGCTCAAGAGATCTGCTACTTCCAAAAGGAAGCCTTGTAGGGTGTAGGGGTGAACATGAGATGGGTTAGTCAAGAGTTCCTTTATTTTGGGGATTCAGAACACACTTATTTACTGAAAATTGTAGTATACAACAGTATAGACCACATTTAAAAAAATAACTATCATTCCTTACTATGATGTTATCTTTGTGTCAAAAACATAGGGAGACTTAGGCCTTAGAATAGACTCTGAAGGTTATCTAGTCCAAAGGGTTTTACAAAGCCAATCTGCAAAAATCAACTGTACTTCCTTCCATACATACACAAGAGGTAGTTGGAAAGTGAAATTAAACAAAAGCAAAATCCCTTTTGCCATCCTGTAAGACTCAAGGCACAGGGACATAGCTGGAGAAAGGCAAGTGGGGCCAGAGGGGCCTGGGCAGCGTTCTCCACACAGCCCTGAGCAGGTCCACTATGGCTGGGGAAGGGAGGAGGCTGGGACAAATTTACCAGGGCACCACACAGCCCAGGGTTCCCTAGAGGCTCTGATTGAGTCCTAGCCGTCCCCACCGGGCTCTGTTGGAAGCAGACCCTGGCCAGTCTGCCTTCGCCGTCCCTATCGTTTCTCCAGTGCCTTTCTGGTTCCTCCCAGGAGCACAGCCTTCAAAAATCACTGGCCCACAAGTTCATGGCTCATAGTATACTAGGGGAGGTGACTGAAGAGAACCTCACTCGCTGATGACTCATATAGAAACATACACATACATACATACATACATAAATGAGAGGGAGGTGTGTATGTGTATATATAGCCTGATCTCATTACACTGAATGTAATTTAACCATTACGCTGAGTGTATTACTTAGGACTTTTCACATGTGATTGTAAGTCATGTTGACATAAAGTAACTGTAAGAATCACAATTTTAACAGCGAATTGATCAGGTTCAAATTTTTTGCTAAATGAGATCAATAAAGTTCTCTCTCAAGAGGTTATCCACCTTAGTATTTTCTTTTTTAAATTTTTGAGATAGTGACTTGGTATGTACTTCACACTGGACTTGAACTCACCTTGTGGTCCAGGCTGGCTTCGAACTCATAGTGATCCTCCTACCTCAGCCTCCCCAATTTTAAGATTACAGGCATGTGCCACAAAGCCCACAGTGTCAACCCTTCTTTTTAACCAATATTAATTCAAATACTTATCAGATACTCTACTGAACAACAAAGGACCAACAGGCGCTACCAAGGTTATACCCAAATTAGCAGACAGGCTGTGTTCAAATTCCATGCACCAGCTCTGTAGATGAAGTCCTTAGGCTCTAGAATTTGTGGGTTAAAACTGTAATTTATGTTCTTGAGCTAGAATTTGAGTTTCCTTATCTGTACAAAGACGACAGTAATAGCACATTCCTTGTAAGGTTGCCATGGAGATTGAGAATTCAGATAAAACTTTAGCATAGTGCCTGAGAGACGGAAAGGACTCAATGCACAGCTGCTGGTATTGCTGGACTTAAGTTAACAAATAGAGAAGTCGTCTAAGTGACACCAAAAGTTCATGAAAATCAGTGGACTTACTTGTAATGTAGTGTCAAAGACAACAAGCTTTGAACTAGTTGGAACGATGTCGTAACACTTGTGTGACCTCATGAATCGCATGTAAACACCACTTTCTGAGTCTTCTGCTAAAAACAAAACAAAACAAAACAAAACAAAAAGCAACATATCAGTAATAAGGAACGCCCTCCACCGATGAAGAGGATATAAAAGAAACTGCTAACATGTGCTGGGGATGTAGCTCAGTGGTTCTGCCACCTGTCTTGCAAGCACAAGGTCCTGAGTTTGATTCCCGGTACCCAAAACAAAACAAAAAAACTGCTTATAACTTAGTGGGGAAACAGGAAATGTTTTCTCTATAAGATCAAGGGGAGGGCTGAGGATTTAGCTCAGTGGTGCCATACTGAGTTTGATCCCTAGTACAGGAGGGTAGGGGGAGATCAAGGACACTTTTTTTTTTTTTGAGACAGGGTCTTGGTAAGTAGTCCAGGCTGGCCTTGAACTCAGCTTGATCCTCCTGCTTCAGCTTCTTAAATGCTAGGATTACAGGTGTGCACCACCATGCCTGGTCATGTGCACAAATTCTATCCAATACTGCATTGGAAGTCCCAGCTGTGCAAAAAGGCAAAGAAAAAGTGAAAGGCATCAGACCAGGAAAGGAAAATCAAGAAATGTCTTTACATGTGACATGATTTTCCTAGAGAAAATACCCCCAAATCTAGGAAAAATTCTTGGATATAAAAAGAAGGAGTTTAGCAAGGTCTCAAATACAGGTCTAATAAAACAAAAAGAAGAAACTTCATTTCTATATATTAGCAAGGAACAGGGCCAGGGATTTAGCTCAGTGGTGCTACCGCCTGCCTCATAAGCTCAAGGTCCCAAGTTCAATTTCCTGGTACAAAAAACCAAACCAAAACAAAACAAGCAATGAACAACTGGAAACTTACAAACAATTCAGGAAGCTGCTTCCATATGGTAAATATCACACAGGGGACACAGAGTGTGAAAGTCATTACTGTATAGATGAACACATACCATGCCTTTTTATTATTCTGATCTTTGTGAGGAAACTGACAATTTAAGCAAAAATAATGACAATGTATTTAGAGTTTATAGAGAAGCTACTGGCATTCACTCCAACCAACTGCAAGCGTCAGGGGCCATGTGGTCTTCACAATGCTCTGCTGGCTTTACAGACTAAATGTCCCTTAAGTCTACCCATTTCTTTCTACCTCCAAGGCCATCTCCAGGTTCAGTACACACCCTCCCTTTTCGGAGCCCTATGCTGGCACCATCCTCTTGCATCCAGACAGGTGTGCAAGATGTAGATTTACAAGAGTCAGCAGAGGCTTCCAGCTGCCTGGAAGGGTCTGTTGCCCAAAGCCCGTCTCATCCATTATACTGCCCACACCTAGGATTTCCTGCCTGAACACTTTTCCCATCTCTTTCCTGCTCAGCAAACTCCTTCACTTGCCCTCTGCTGAAGGATGTGGCCAGGAGGCTGTGGGACTGGAAGGTGAGCCCCAAGCTTGTTGGTGCCAAGGCTGTGGTTGTGGCCAGGGCGACGCCCTCCTTCCTTGGCCCACAGTGCCACCTGATTATTTTGTTTGCTCACTCCTGACCCATCCTCATGGGTCAGTGCCACAACTTCCTCCAAGTGACCTCCTTGACAGCTCTGTTGAGCCTGCACCAATGTGTGTACTTTGGAGGATTTGGACTACATGGCAAACAACTGTGAAGAAATAAAATTAGTGTACATGGGAATTAGCAAAATCAGTGTCAAAGAGCCCACATGGTACTGAGGTCCTGCCTGTGGACAGAAGCTCGTCATTCTATTTCTTATAGCGGAAGCCAGACTGACTGGTTTCTCTATTTCGCGACAGACTCTGGGGCCACTCTTGGAATTCTTTCCAATTCTGACTGCTCTTAGGGCCTTACTCACATGCGGGCACCATTGTTCCTGTTGCCTCTGAACAGGGCCATCTTCAAGGCCTCACCTCCACAGTGGGACCAAGTCCAGATACCTCTGTAGCCACAGTTATCCTGTCTGGCTTCCCTGTAACTCATCCCTATGCCTGCTTCCACATCTAGGCAAAGGGGTGCACTCCTGGTTCCCTGTCTCCAACTTGCCTTCCCACACTTGATTAGCTCTAATGTGCTTCTTTTTCTTATCCAATTTCAATGCAATCTCTGAAGCAAACTCTACCTATTCCTGTAAAAGAAGTAAATAAACACCTGAGTGGTAACTATGAATGAATCGGGTACTATGACAACTTCATCTGATCTACGTAACCTTGAGGAAGAAGCCCTCATTTCTTTGTGTAACATATAAGGAAACTGAGGCCAGGAGAAGTTCAGTTGCCTGCCAAAGTCAGAGGGGCAGGGAGTAAAACCCAAGTGCAATTTAAAGCTCCATCTGACTCCAAAAGTGCCTCTTATTAAATGCTGCTTCATTGCCACATCACAGGACAGATGCCACCTATGTGCCAGGTGCTGGAGTAGGTGGAGACACATAGGACAATGAGATCCTCACTTTTCAACCCCAAAGCTCACAAGCTGGCTGATCCCACAAGATCACACAAGATAGCGCAAGACATCTGTCCAAATAACTTCTTCCCCTGAATGCCATGTCTGTATTTCTCATCAATTATCGCCTTGTTTCTTGTTAACAGTGACTGTATATTTCTAATAACTTTTCCTTCTTGGATGATAATTTCTTTGAATGATCAGAATCTTCCTTATGTAACCCATGAATTAACCCAAGCCTACATGTATTTATTGGAGATTGCTTTAGCAATATGGAAATAGCCAAAGTTGAGTCTAAGAAGTGAGACAAAGAAGGAAAAAAACTTCAAAAAAGATCATGCCTGTAGTAGGTTACAGATTCACACAACTGGACTCAAGGTAGGGAGGAGGAAGCTCTGCAGCGTGGCCCTCTCATCTGTCTCAGATCGGCCTCAGGGCGGGAGATAGTTCCTGCCCTTTTTGGGTCAAAGCTAGCCCTAGGCTGCCTGTGAGCTTGTGGGTAGAGATGCTGAAATGGGAGCCTAGGATTAGACCAAGAGACGGGGGTGTGGCACCAGCAGCGCTTGCTACCCACAGCTCCCACTGTGCTAGTGCTGTCCCCCCAGAATGGAGACGGGGACATCAACAATCTTCACACTGCAATGTATCCTACCAAGGATAAGGGGGAGCTCACGAGTGTGCAGAATTGTCAACAACCCAAGGATGGATGGAATTTAAACTTGTAGTCTAGGTGCCAGGATTTAGCTCAGTGGTGCCTCCACCTGCCTCTCAAATGCAAGGTCCTGAGTTAGATTCCTGGTAACAAAAAAAAAAAAAAAGAAAAAAAGAAAGAAATTTAAGCTTGCAGGCTTCCCTAGTTCTTGAAATGTTTACAGAAAACATTTGCAGGGGTCCCCTGCAGAGGAAGAGCTGAAATACAGAAAGCTCGAGCAGTAGTGCAGAATACTTGAGTCCGTTTCTGCCATTGCTGTCATGGTGCAGTACTCTCAGAGCCTATTCCGGGTGTGATCTGGGCCAAAGAGCTGAAAATATATTTAGCCAATGTTCACACAAATTGCCTGCCAAATCTGTTTAAAGCCAATGAAAGCAAGAAGGAAACTAGTAATAAATGTAACAATAAAACAAAAATGAAACAATATACTGTACAATACTATATAATATAGCAATAATGTAACAACTTTATCAATAGTAACAGTATAACAATGTAATACTAAAATATAACACTATCTCCCAGAAAGAAAACTTTACATTTTGTTCATTAATTAAATCAGTACTTTTCATAAAAGACATAAAGAATCAAAGTACATGGTACATGTTTAAATTAAAAAATTTATTACAGTAAGACACATTGCCATTAATGCTCCTCAAAATCCTCTCCCTTGCTTCCAACACAACTCACCTTATCATTCTTGCCAATTTTTTTGCTGTTTTTTGGATTTTTTTTTTTTTCTGTGTAGTTCAGACTGGCCTTGAATTTACTATGTAACCTAGGCTAGCCTCAAACTCACAGGGATCCTCCTGCCTCAACCTCCCAGGTGCTGGGATCACAGGTGTGCCCCATCATGCCCCGCATTCTTACCACTTTCTGAAGCAGTTCTGAAGCCCTATTTCCTGAGTGCCTTTTCAGGGGATGATAAAAAATACAGTGAGTAATGCTGGCAAGTGCCATCCAACAGAAAGTCAGACTTGTAAAAACATCACTTTGTCCTCATCCACCTCATTCACCAGATCTGGCACTGTGCAACTTCTGGCTCCTCCCCAGAGTCAAAATGATCATGAAAAGTAAACATTTTGAATCCATTCAGGACATCAAGGCAGCCACAGCAGCACAACTAATGACACTCATGAAAGAGGACTTGCAGAGCTGCTCCAGAGAGTGGTAAGAACAATGGGATGGATATATTTGAATCAAGGGGGAGAGATTAGAGAGGAATAATGCATCTTTTACTGTAATCATTTTTTAAAAATTTAAATATTCACCATATTTTAGGATCACATAGTACATATACTGTAGCTGTTCACATCACTATATGAATATCTGAGTGCTTGCTTCAGCAGCACATATACTATATGAGTATCTGAAAAAAATTTAAGTACTCTAAAGTAGAACTACACAAATGTAAAATTTTTGAAGTTTGTAGGCTTTGTGTTATATTTTTAGTGTACCTTCTTTTTTTTGTTTTATGGTACCAGGGGTCAAACTCAGGACCTTGTACTTGTGAGGCAGGCAGGATGTCCCTGAGCTAAATCCCCAGCCCTTTAATTCTTCTTCTGATTTTAAAAAATATTTAAATAAACAAGGTACAGTGGACCATCAAGGTAGGACCGACATTTTCATTTTAACTTATGAGCAAATGCTGGCTGCTTGTGGTTCCAGATGGCCTCAAACACAAATTTAACCCTAAGGAGATCTGAAAAGAACATCACAACATCCTTTCCTTTATATGGGGTTAACTGAGAAATCCTGGTCAATGTCTCTCTAAAGACACTGAGATCTGCCTGTATACAAGAGAGAGACTTTAAAGGCTGGATAGAGGTGCCAGAGCCTTCAACGGACCAACGTGAATTACAACCAGCCCTTGGGAATGAACTGAGTTTGTAA